TCATCTTGTTGGAAGATAAATCTCTGTCCCAGTCTCTGGTCCCCTGCAGACTCCAGCAGGTTTTCTTCCAGAATGCTCCTGAGTTTGGCTCCATCCATCTTCCCATCAACTTCATCCATCTTCCCTGTCCCTGCTGAAGAAAAGCAGATCCAAACCATGATGCTGCCACCACCATGTCTGACAGTGGGGATGGTGTGTTCAGGGTTATGAGCCGTGTTGCTTCTACTCCAAACATAAAGTTTTGGCCAAAAATTTGGATTTTGGTTCCATCTGACCAAAGCTCCTTCTTCCAGATGTTTGCTGTCTCTCCCAGGTGGTTTGTGGCAAACCTTAAACCAGACTTTTTATGATATCTTTCAGAAATGTCTTCCTTCCATGAAGGCCAGATGTGTGCAGCATGTTGTCCCATGGACAGAGTCTCCATCCTCAGCTGTAGATCTCTGCAGTTCCTCCAGAGGGATCATGGGCCTCTGGGCTGCATCTCTGATCAGAATGAAGGTTCAGAGGGACGGCCGGGTCTTCAGAGAGTCCCAGTGGTCTGATGCTCCTTTGTAATTGGGACCAGGAGTCCCATTACCCCATGAAATATGATTATTGATTTGGTGTTATTTAGTATTAAGTTGGAACAGATAGTTGGGTTGTTTGGGTTCTTTATCATAGTTTTGTTTGGACATTTTTAAATGGATTCTAGTGAAGCAGAAGGACCGGCCATGCTGGCTGTTAGGATAATAATCATTTGATAATAATCATTGAAGATGTGTGAGTTTATCACAGGGCTGCCTGTTGCGCATCAGAACTGACGTTTTAGTCTAATTAGGAGAACTCCTCTGTGTGGATATACAGTTATAATCTTCATTTTGTACGTGGCAAAGATTTGGAAATGGAATGAGAGCGGCGTCCTGTTTCGATAAGGCCGGAGCCATGGATGTCTAATCATCTGCTAACATGTATGATGTAAAATATGATGATGTGGCAGATTGGAGATGTATAAAATGCCTTTTTAACTGTTCATCGGGGACACTTCCTGGGAGTCGAGCCCAGAGGTGAGCAGCTGCCTTCTGTAACTCTAAGCAATTTCTCTGATCTGAGTAAGATTAGAATATCTGTTGTCATGTCTCCTGGTTATTTAATACATAGAAGTGTTATTTAAATAGTTTGTCTGAGTGATCTCTTTTCAGGGAAAAGAACCGGAGTGACAGAGCATCAGGGAGCAGACATACACTGATTATTTATATGTCAAGTTAAAGTATTTACCTTATTCCTGGTGGCTCCTGGGCAGGGCGTGGCAGGAAG